TCCACCACATCACTTCCTAGTGCATTCCATTTATTAACTACTCTGACACTGAAAAAATTCTTTCTAACGTCTCTGTGGCTCATCTGGGTAATAAGTTTAAACCTGTGTCCCCTTGTTCGTGTCCCACCCGTGCTGAAGAGTTTGTCTTTGTCCACCCTGTCAATTCCCCTGAGAATTTTGTAGGTGGTTATCATGTCTCCCCTTACTCTTCTGTTTTCCAGGATGTGAGGTTCAGCTCCTTTAGCCTTTCCTCGTAGCTCAATCCTCTCAGTTCCGGGACGAGCCTGGTGGGCATACCGCTGAATCTTCTCTAACTTTGTCTTGTGTTTAACTAGGTATGGACTCCAGGCTGGAGCTGCATACCTAGTTAATTGGTCTTACATAAGTGGTATACAGGGTTCTGAAAGATCCCTTACACAAGTTTCTGAAGGCAGTTCTTATGTTGGCCAGTCTAGCATATGCCGCTGATGATATTCTTTTGATGTGGGCCTCTGGGGACAGGTTCGGTGTGATATGAACCCCCAGATCCTTCTCTCTATTTGATTCTTGCAGGATTTCCCCTCCCAGATGATACCTTGTGTTCAGCCTCCTGCTCCCTTCGCCTAATTTCATCACCTTACACTTTCCAGAGTTGAACTTCAGCAGCCATTTTCTAGACCATTCCTCCAGTTTATCCAGGTCATCCTGTAGTCTCTGTCTATCTTCATCCGTCTTGATTCTTCTCATAATTTTTGCATCATCAGCAAGCATCGAGAGGAATGAGTCTATACCCTCTGGAAGATCGTTCACATATATTAGAAACAGGATGGGTCCAAGTACTGAGCCCTGTGGGACTCCGCTGGTGACATCTCGCCACTCTGATGTCTTCCCCCTCACCGTTACTCGCTGTTTCCTGTTGCTTAAGTACTCCCTTATCCACTGGAGCACCTTCCCTTTTACTCCTGCCTGTTGCTCCAACTTTTTTACAGCCTTTTATGGGGTACTGTGTCAAAGGCTTTTTGGCAATCCAGGAAAATGCAGTCGGCCCACCCTTCTCTTTCCTGCCTAATTTTCGTTGCCTGGTCATAAAATTCTATTAAACCTGTGAGGCACGATTTACCATCTCTGAACCCATGTTGGTGGTGCGTTAAAAAGTTATTTCCCTCCAGATGCTCTACGAGCCTTTTCCACACGATCTTCTCCAGCACCTTGCATGGTATACAAGTTAAGGAAACTGGCCTGTAATTCAGTGCCTCTTGCCTGTCACCCTTTTTGTATATTGGGACCCACGTTAGCTGTCTTCCAACTTTCTGATAAGTCTCCTGTTTCCAGTGATCTGTTATACAATATCCATCATGACCTGCACATTCTTGTCTCTAAGTTCTGTTTCCCATGGTATTCCCTGAGGAAGTTCCTCATCTCGTCATATTTTCCTCTTCGGTAATTCAGTCTTTTCCCCTCCACTCCCATCCTTGGATAGGTTATCCCTACCTCCACCAAGTACTCAAAGGTCAGTACACTGTGGTCACTCATTCCTATGGGGGCTTCAACTTTGACTTCCCTTATTTCTGACTCATTCAGGGTGAATATTAAGTCGAGTTTAGCTGGTTCATCATTGCCTCTCATTCTTGTGGGTTCCTTGACATGCTGGCTCAGAAAATTCCTTGTTGCCACTTCCAAGAGTTTAGCTCGCCACGTATCTGCACCACCATGTGGGTCCCCATTCTCCCAGTCTATCTTTCCATGGTTGAAATCACCCATGATTAAGAGTCTTGAGCCATTCCTGCAGGCAACTGAAGCTGCTCTCTCTATTATATTAATGGTTGCCATGTTGTTCCCATCAAACTCCTGTCTAGGTCTTCTGTCATTTAGGGGAGGGTTGTTAATGACTGTCACTATTATCTTAGGTCCACCCATTGTTATAGTTCCTGTTATGTAATTTCTGAATCCGTCACAGCCCGGAATTTCCATCTCATCAAAACTCCAGTCCTTCCTTATCAGCAGGGCCACTCCTCCACCTCCTCTCCCTTCCCTCTCTTTCCTTACTATATAGTAGTCCTTTGGACACACAGCATCTGTTATGACTCCTGACAATTTTGTTTCTGTTAGTCCTATTACATCAGGGTTTTCTTCTTGCACCCTTTCTGCCAGTTCACTTGCTTTATTGGTAATCCCATCAATGTTTGAGTACATTACCTTGAAGCTCACTTTCTTATATCCAATTTCACCCACACTCCCTACAAGTGTAGGAGGTTGTTCTATGGTCATGCTACTTGGGTAGGCTCCTCCTCCTGTGAGGTAGTTGCCAGGGTTCAGGGGGAGGTGGAGTGGGGGGTGGTGGGCTTAGGTCTTCCTCAGGCCTGCTTGGGTCAGGAAGAAGTCCTGGGGTGAGGGAGCAGGGATTGCTTGGGAGAGGGCACGCCCTCCTGCGGTATGTATGTATGTATGTATGTATGTATGTATGTATGTATGTATGTATGTATGTATGTATGTATGTATGTATGTATGTATGTATGTTTATATGTATATATGTATGCTTGTATGTATATATGTATATATGTATGTATGTATGATAGAAATTTTAGCTAAATTCACGTGTTTATATAAGTTCGCGAAAAAATTAAATAACGTCAAATCACATGGTCCAAAAGCGCCTGTATATGTAGAAGGAAAACTCTTGGTCAATGAATCTGGTAACGGGTTTGCCCCATTACCATATTACTATTACCAATTGTAATAGTTTCTTACTTCTTATAGTGAGAGTTATGTAACTAACCGCCCTTCAGCCCACAGAATGAATATTACGAGTTACGACATTTCAATAGAAAGTCCAGCTCAGAGGGTGAAGCAAGTAACACAATTGTTGCTGCAAGGTGTAAATGGTTGCATGAGGCAACACTGGTGGCTCCAGTGTTCCTGAGAGGAGACTTGCCTTGATGCAACATAATCCTTGCAATTCAAAATCGCAACATTAATAAGTTGGTTTTGAACTTATTTGCTCCGACTACGAGAACCTCCAATGAATGTCATTCACAAAAAACTATATTCAAACAAAGGTTTACCTCGTAGCTCTGTGAAGGCCAGCGACAAAACTAAATTATTTTTCTTTAATGAATGAACTAGATAATGAAGCAGTTCCCGCTTCTCTACATTATTAAAATATAATTTGTTTTAAGCTTTTTTCTACAAACATCTCAGGAAGTCTTTTATGAAATACAAGTTCTTCATTGTTTTAAACCAAATCATTACTTTTCTCTTATTATATAGACGCATCACGATACCTAATGCTTCCACATACATGGGAGAAGCTCTCTCTGCCACCACATTCATGGAGAAGCTCTTACTGCTACCACATACATGGGAGAAGCTCTCACTGCCACCACATACATGGGAGAAGCTCTTACTGCCACCACATACATGGGAGAAGCTCTCTCTGCTACCACATACATGGAGAAGCTCTCTCTGCACCACATACATGGGAGAAGCTCTCTCTGCCACCACATACATGGGAGAAGCTCTCACTGCCACCACATACATGGGAGAAGCTCTCTCTGCCACCACATACATGGAGAAGCTCTTACTGCTACCACATACATGGGAGAAGCTCTCACTGCCACCACATACATGGGAGAAGCTCTTACTGCCACCACATACATGGAGAAGCTCTCTCTGCCACCACATACATGGGAGAAGCTCTTACTGCCACCACTACATGGGAGAAGCTCTCTCTGCTACCACATACATGGGAGAAGCTCTCTCTGCCACCACATACATGGGAGAAGCTCTCACTGCTACCACATACATGGGAGAAGCTCTCACTGCCACCACATACATGGGAGAAGCTCTCTCTGCCACCACATACATGGGAGAAGCTCTTACTGCTACCACATACATGGGAGAAGCTCTCTCTGCCACCACATACATGGGAGAAGCTCTCACTGCTACCACATACATGGGAGAAGCTCTCACTGCCACCACATACATGGGAGAAGCTCTTACTGCTACCACATACATGGGAGAAGCTCTCTCTGCCACCACATACATGGGAGAAGCTCTTACTGCTACCACATACATGGGAGAAGCTCTCTCTGCCACCACATACATGGGAGAAGCTCTTACTGCTACCACATACATGGGAGAAGCTCTCTCTCTGCCAACCACATACATGGGAGAAGCTCTTACTGCTACCACATACATGGGACAATCTTGAAACCACCCCCCCCCAGATACCATCCTTACCCCTACCCTACCCATCTCTGGGAACTAACACCCCCCCCCCACAGATACCATCCTGACCCCTACCCTACCCATCTCTGGGGATCTATCACCCCCCCCCCCCACAGATACCATCCTGACCCCTACCCTACCCATCTCTGGGGAACTAACACCCCCCCCCCCCCCCCCCCCCCCAGATACCATCCTGACCCCTACCCTACCCATCTCTGGGGAACTAACACCCCCCCCCCACATATACCATCCTGACCCTACCCTACCCATCTCTGGGGAACTAACCCCCCCCCCCCCCCCCCACAGATACCATCCTGACCCCTATCCTACCCATCTCTGGGGAACTAACACCCCCCCCCCACAGATACCATCCTGACCCCTACCCTACCCATCTCTGGGAACTAACCCCCCCCCCCACAGATACCATCCTGACCCCTACCCTACCCATCTCTGGGAACTAACACCCCCCCCCCACAGATACCATCTTGACCCCTACCCTACCCATCTCTGGGGAACTAACACCCCCCCCCCACAGATACCATCCTGACCCCTACCCTACCCATCTCTGGGGAACTAACCCCCCCCCCCACAGATACCATCCTGACCCCTACCCTACCCATCTCTGGGGAACTAACACCCCCCCCCACAGATACCATCCTGACCCCTACCCTACCCATCTCTGGGGAACCACTAGTTGTCAACAGAGTTGTTATGGCTCTATTCTTTCTGGATTTTTGGCCTGGGTAACTGTTTTATGTTTTTCATGTAGAAAATGTATTGCTTAGTGTCTTACGATGCGTAAAATTTAACATTATTTCTCGAAACGGATGTGCATGCTTTAGGGATGAATGCTAATTAGAATACCTTACGTCGAAGCTTTCCTCAACTGAATCACAAGCTCGATTATCATATCAGCTGAAGGTGATCATATCACCAGAAACCAAACCAAACAAGAAGCTCCTTATCTCATGAATAGCTCGGCCCCTAGAAAAACAGCCATAATAAATCTCTTTTTATGCTTTTAAATGAAACTGCCTACGGGGAAGCGAACAGCCTCGCCATAAGAACTGGACTGGTTCCGGAGCGCAAAAATTGGCCCGTATTGTAGAAAAAAAGTAACAGGAACACTGCCAAGTTTAGCAAGAAAAACCTCACTAACAGAGAATGTTGGAAGCCTTTTGTAGTTTCCGGAGTAATAGGAGGATGCCCCGTCGGCCCCCAGGACCCCGTCTGCCCCCAGGACCCCGTTGGCCCCCAGGACCCCGTTGGCCCCCAGGACCCCGTTGGCCCCAGGACCCCGTCGGCCCTAGGACCCCGTCGGCCCCAGGACCCTGTCGGTCCCAGGACCCCGTCGGCCCCAGGATCCCGTCGCCCCAGGACCCCGTCTGATCCCAGAACCCTGTCGGTCCCAGGACCCCGTCGGCCCTAGGACCCCGTCGGCCCCCAGGACCCTTCGACCCTAGGACCCTTCGGCCCCAGGACCCTTCGGCCCCAGGACACCGTCGGCCCCAGGACCCCGTCGGCCCCAGGACCCCGTCGGTCCCAGGATCCCGTCGGCCCCAGGATCCCGTCGGCCCCAGGACCCCCGTCGGTCCCAGGACCCCGTCGGCCCCAGGACCCCGTCGGCCCTAGGATTCCCGTCGGCCCCAGGATCCCGTCGGCCCCAGGGTCCCCGTCGGTCCCAGGGCCCTGTCGGTCCCAGGACCCCGTCGGCCCCAGGACCCTTCGACCCCAGGACCCTTCGGCCCCAGGACCCTTCGGCCCCAGGACCCCGTCGGCACCAGGACAAATCCAGCTCCAGATATTATCTTCCTTGGTGATTTCAATTTACCGAGCCTAAGATGGAGAATGACAAACACAAATATCATAGCAGGGAATGACCCGGGAAATAACCAACTACAGGTCAGAGAACTTTTAAGATTCTGTGACAAATTCTCGCTCAATCAACAGATTACAGAACCAACTAGGAACGAAAACACAGTAGACTTGTTATTCACAAACAATGATGAACTAATCAGAGACATAACAATCTCAGATACTTCATACTCAGACCATAAGCTTATTGAAGTGCGAACTAGCATAAATAACGGTAGTAGGTCTATGTTACGGCTACCTATTGGGTCGCAACCGGGTTCTTCTCTGATGTTATTAGAGGTTGGGTATCCGGCCCCAAGCTAGTAGTGGCTTTCAAGGGGTGCGTTCCGTAATGCAAGTTAAATTAAAGGGGAAGGGATACAAATGCACTGCTTTTGTATATATATTGCTACCACCACCAAAAATAAATATATCACAGTCACATGCGGGGTTGCTATAACTACACTTATTATATACAGATACGTCTTCCTCTGAAGACACAGGATGCTCCACGGTGCTCAAGATGAGTAGCCCTGGTTCTCTTCTTCGTGGCCCACGATGAATCCTCTGATTCTCTCGGCGAATCTACCCCGGCCACCGGCCAGCCAAATCACAGTCCCACTGGGTGCATCGTCGTGGAGGCCTTCAACCACAAATCCAGCCTGTAGCTGGCATGTTCCAATCAGCTCCGCTGTGTAGGCCACTCCACGACCGATACTAGGGTTGCGAGCCCTAGGCAGGAGCCTCGTGTGATTCCGCAGATCACTCTCCTCTTCTCTCCGCACCACAGTGGCTAGTCTCTTCCACCAGCCAGCCCCCAGATAAAACGATTCCTGGTACTGCCACGTCACAGGCAGGCTACCACACTCAACAGTGTTCGTCCAGGGGTGACTCACAGCTTCTGCAGCAAACACGGGGAGAGACTTTGGCTGCCTTGGGTAGACTGCCCCACCATCCAATACAGAAGTCCCAGGTCGACTCTGCAATCAGACACGTCATCAGTACTAGGGACGCTCTAGGGCACCTCACTTACAGACTTAGACACAAACGTCCACCTATCCACTCCATAGATGGCGTTGCTGTCTAAGTGCCACCTCACCAGATGTCAGCAGCGGCTATGTTACGAGCTGATTAAGACGGGAAACCAGCCCCTGTGGCCGGTATATCCCGTCCTCGCTAGATGGCGCTGTCCATTTGGAGGGGGATTCGGGAGCAGACTCACAGATGGCGATGTCGTCACTGCTCCGTGCTCGGGCGCTGGACTCGGGTCCGTAACAGTCTAAGAGACCCAACAAGCGAGAAGGAATATTCAATCAATTCAATTTCAACAATAAGCGGATTGACTGGGAAAAAATAAATGTAGACCTTGCAACCATTCAATGGGAGACGGTCTTAAGCGACAAAACTCCCACACAGGGAATAGCTCAACTGACAGTTGAAGCTTACAAGGTCTGCTTGAAGCATGTACCTGTGAGGAGGGGCAGAAAGAGGACCACTCTAGAAAGAGAACGCAGACGACTGTACAGGAGAAGGAAAAAAATAACGGAAATGCTTCGGCAGACACAACTATCACAAGCAAGGAAAACAAGCCTAAGCAGGGAGATCGAAAAAATAGAACAAACGTTGAAGCGATCATATGAGTCTGAGGAAATGGAATTGGAACAGAAAGCTATACAAGAGATAAGGAAAAATCCAAAATATTTTTTCACATACGCAAAATCCAAATCCAAAACCTCGACCAGTATTGGACCGTTAATTACAAATGAAGGTACTACACAGGGGACAAACAAAGAGATTAGTGAAATTCTAAGAACCCAGTATGAGGCTATGTTTAGCACACCAATAAACAACATGAAAGTTGATGACCCAGACAGCTTCTTTATGAATGACATTCAAGCTGCAGTTAATATAACAGATTTACCACAAACTCGGAAGACTTTGAAAGAGAAATTGACAATATGCCTATGCACTCAGCTCCTGGGCCTGACTCATGGAATTCAATATTCATAAAGAAATGTAAAGTACCAGTAGCGAGAGCACTCAGCGTAATATGGAGAAAGAGCCTGGATACAGGGGAGATACCAGCAGCACTTAAATCTGCAGATATTGCTCCGTTGCACAAGGGGGGGGAGTAAAGCCTTGGCAAAAAATTATAGGCCAGTTGCACTAACATCACACATAATAAAAGTGTTTGAAAGAGTGATTAGGAATCAAATTTCTAGTTTTATGGAAAACAATGAATTGCACAATCCAGGACAACATGGATTTATAGCGGGAAGATCCTATCTGTCACAGTTACTCAACCACTATGACAAAATCACAGAAGCCCTAGAAGAAAAGCAAAATGCAGATGTTGTATACACAGACTTTGCAAAGGCGTTCGACAAATGTGACCATGGGGTGATAGCTCACAAAATGAGGTCAATGGGAATAACTGGAAAAGTAGGACGCTGGATACTCAATTTACTGTCGAACAGAACACAAAGAGTAACAGTCAATCAGATAAAATCGAGTCCAAGCGATGTTAAAAGCTCTTGCACCGCTACTGTTCCTTATTCTCATATCTGATATAGACAAAAATACACGTCACAGCTTCGTGTCGTCCTTTGCAGATGACACAAAAATCAGCATGAAAATTACTTCTGCTGAAGACATTGAAAAACTACAAGCAGATGTCAACAAAGTTTTCGATTGGGCAGCAGAAAATAACATGATGTTTAACAGTGATAAATTTCAGGTACTCAGGTACGGCAAAAATGAGGATCTGAAACATAATACAGGGTACAAAACACAATCGAATCTGCCCATAGTAGAAAAACAGCATGTCAAGGATTTGGGAATAATGATGTCCGACGATCTAACGTTTAGGGAGCATAACCAAGCAAATATCGCATCAGCCAGAAAAATGATAGGATGGATTACGAGAACTTTCAAATCCAGGGATCCCATCACAATGGTTGTACTCTTCAAGTCACTTGTGTTGTCTCGTCTCGAGTACTGCTCAGTATTCACTTCCCCCTTCAGAGCAGGAGAGATTGCTGAAATAGAGGGAATACAGAGAACATATACGGCACGCATAGACTAGATAAAACACCTAAATTATTGGGATCGTCTCAAAGCTCTCCAAATGTACTCTCTAGAAAGGAGACGAGAGAGATACCAAATAATATACTCATGGAAAATACTGGAGGGTCAGGTCCCAAATCTACACAGTAAAATAACAACGTACTGGAGTGAACGATATGGAAGAAATGCAAGATTGAACTAGTGAAGAGCAGAGGTGCCATAGGCACAATCAGAGAGCACTGTATAAACATTAGAGGTCCGCGGCTGTTCAACGTCCTCCCAGCGACTATAAGAAATATTGCCGGAACAACCGTGGACATCTTCAAGAGAAAACTGGACGGTTTTCTAAGAGAAGTTCCGGATCAGCCGGGCTGTGGTGGGTACGTGGCCCTGCGGGCCGCTCCAAGCAACAGCCTGGTGGACCAGACTCTCACAAGTCGAGCCTGGCCTCGGGCCGGGCTTGGGGAGTAGAAGAACTCCCAGAACCCCATCAACCAGGTATCAACCAGGTAACCTCGTCGGCCCCAGGACCCCGTCGGCACCTGGACCCTGTCGGCCCTCAGGAACCGTGTCTTCCTCAAGACAAGACCTCCGGCCTTCTCCAGCATCCAGGTGTGCTCAAAGACCTCAGTGCAGCTCAGGAAACCAGACCAGCCCCTTGACCCATGCCAGATAAAGGACGCTGGTCTGCTACAGGATCCAGATCTACCATAGGACTCCAGTCTGCTTCCTGATCCCCCAGATCAATCATAGGACCCCAGTCTGCTTCCTGACCCCCAGATCAATCATAAGACCCCAGTCTGCTTCCCTGACCCCCCCCCCCTTCCTTTCACCAGGACTACAACCTGCTCCAGACCCTCAGCATGTTATAGGA